AATTATTTTTAGTTTGAGCAGGTTTTTATTATTGCACAGGCTGACGACCTGTCATTTAGCCCCATATGTAATTCACCAATTTCATTAATTCTACTATGGCACTCTAACTTTTGCAATTTAACCCCCATATGTAATACACCAATTTTATTATTTCTATTATGGCACCCTAGCTTTTACAATTTAGCCCCTATTTTTTATTAGGAAATTGCGAATGGTATCTTGATAAACTATGCATAAATATTTTATAATTTTCTCAAACTTAAGTAATAATTTGTTATAAACTCTAAAGATATATCTTTCATTACAATAGTTATAAGGCAGGCAGGTCCTTTTATCAATGGAATAAGAAATTTATGCCAGATTTATCCTTTGTACTACATGCCAAGTAGTATTAGCAAAGGAATAACAAAGTACTACAAAGTAATTAACAAAATAGCCTTCAGGGAGTGTAGTTTATGGGCAAATGAGTATTATCTATTCAAAGTACCAACTTTTTATGGGCATTTTATTCTCAAACATATAATTTATGATAAATTTATAAATGTTTGCAAGTAAAATTCAAAAAGTGTTACACTGATTTCTTACAAAACGAAAACTGGCAGGTTATCTTTTCAACATAAATTAAATTTTTTTAAAAAAAGAAATGGCCCATAAAGTACCAACTCTTTGTGGGTTTCCTCCATTACATGAACAAATATTCTGCTCTTTATGGGCATTTCACTCTGAATCATTTAGTTTATGTTAAATACATAAATGTTTGTAAGTAAAATTCAAAAAGTGTTGCACTAATATTTTTATGAAAGGGAAACTGGTAGGTTTTGTATTTAACATAAATTAAATATGTGAAAGCAAAAAAAAAAAGAAATTACCCATAAATCTATGTCTTGCAAATGTATACTAGTAAAATATATAGTTTCAAACAAAATTAAACATTAAAATAAACTGTAATTTATACACATTAAAATATCTGTAATTTATACACATTTTGCAACTACTACTTTGTGTTTTCTCTGTAATGAATTTTTTAACTATTGAGAACTTAAGTTTTGTCTTGCAAATCTATACTAGTACAATAGTTTTAAACAAAATTAAACATTAAAATAAATGTTTGAAAAAGAACAAAAGTACATTTATCACTTGCAGTAATGTAACAAAATTTTCTCAACCATTATCAATATTTTCACAAAAGTATTAAAAACTAGCAATTGACAATATTAAAAACTAGCAATTTAATTAGTGACGACTTTTCTTGTCATTATAATCTTGAATAAATTAGTGATAACATTATGTCATCACTAAATTTTCTTTGATTTTGACTTAACAATAATGTCTTATTAATAGCATTTGATTATTTTTAATGAAAGTCTGTTATAACCATAGAATTTGACTTTCGTTATTTTCAATTAATGATGTACTTTAGTGCTGCAATTTTAAAAAATTGCAGGGCTAAAATATTTGCAAATTATAAAAATATATTTTCACTTATATGTAATTAACAAATTTTGCCACCTATATTGATGAAAATTTGTGTTTTTGTACTAAAAAATAAAGAATAATACTATAGCAATAAAATCTATGCTTCAAACCAAATTAAAAATAAAAAAAAGCATGATGATTGGTCTCAAATGTTGGGAAAATGATTATTTTTATTGAAACTATGTTATAACGATATAATTTGAGTTTAATTATTTTGAATTACATGATGTTCTTTAGTGCTGCAATTATAAGAAATTAGTATAAAATATTAGCAAATTATAAAAGTACATTTTCAATTATATGAAATTAACAAATTTTGCCACCTATGTTGATGAAAATTTTTATTTTTTGCTAAAAAATAAATAATTATACTATAGCATTAAAATGTATGGTTCAAACCATATTACAAATCCAGAAAAAAACATGATTTTTGGTATCAAATGGAGGGAAAATGAGTGAAGTCAAAATTTTGATCAAATCATAGTGAAAGTGCCGCGCAACAAAAACAATATCCAAAGCAAAGCAAAGACCAAAGCAGCGGAACACATTCTGAAAACAAAAGCAACGGAACACTTGGTCTGAGTTAAAGCAACGGAACACTTGAGCAACACAAACTTTCATCGAGCTGAAACAAACAAGCTTCTGCACTGAGCACAAAACAGAGCTTCCGCACGGCACCTGATACTTTCACCCACACAACAAATCCGTTCTCTGGCTTCTCACTAGCATCACCATGGCTGTCCAGCATTAAAGGGCAAGGTTTTCTTTGGAAAGGTTCGTTTTTCTCTCTCCTATACATTTTCCCCAATTTTTCCAAATCCCTAATATTCTACAATATTTTTTGCAAATTTCTGCCCAAAATCTTTTAGCAGCTCTTGATTATTAGATGCTATCATAGCTATGTTGTACTCGGAACTCCCCCCGCTCGACTCGATTCATCTAACCTGTGGCTGATTTGTTTCAAGTTCATTTCTGCAAGCGTGATTGGTCGTTGAGTTGGATGTCCGTTATTTCGAAGAGGAGTCCGCTTGATTGGTGCATCGATCAGGTTTGAGAAGTTGTCTATTCGAGTCTTAAACGTCTGTCAAATTGTTAGCCATGCTACTACATTTTCTTCTCTCCTTTTTTTTTTCCATTCTTTTGCCCCCTCTATTTATGTCGAGGAAGCACATGGGAGCTTCCAGTTCCTTCTGATGTGGATCAGAAGGAAAATATTAAAAACACTCCTGTCAAACTTTTTGTTTTTTTATTATGTAACAGGATAAAAAGATCTTCACTCTTCATTTTGATTATAATTTCATAAAATAAGAGAGTGCCATTAACATGTCCCTAACTTTTGATATCCACTATTATGTCATTTTTCCTGAACTATCAATTCTTGTCGATCATTTCAAAAATCCTATCATTTTTGAAATATCCTGTGGAAAGAGCACGCAAACTAGTAGTAAATGAAAATCTAATATGACAAGGAAAGTTTTAGTTGAAATGTACAAGAGATCTTTGAATGCAGCACGCTGTTTGGCATAAATATGCGAAGATGCTGGAAAAGTTAGCAGGCTTTTGAAGCTGAAAACAGCAAAAATGCTACTAAATTGTATCACATTTCCCGTTTCTGGAAGAAAAACAGAGCGTATGTTTAAATCCTTCGTTCCGCTCTGTACAGTCAACTTAATTATAAAGAATTCTTTTACAAGTCTTGAGCCATATGGGTTGAGAGTAGTTGCATTCCATGATGGAAGATTCTTTTGAACGTTGAGGGCTTCCAATATTCATGCCTAGCTCATTGTTTCTTTGACCCCAAATTATATTTCTAGAAAAATTTACACTTTACAGCCTTAGACAATTTTCAGCTAAGGATGCGAAAATCATACATAAAACACTACAACAAAAATGGCCTTTAACGGCATTTAAAAGTGTCAGTATAGATAATCTAATCTGACACTTTATCTATCCTCACACCTAGGGCGAGTGTTGTCCCTTCCAATGTGGGGATAGACTCATACTATTCAACATGTCAGGAAAACTATGTTGTTATAACATCCCATCTACCAACAAAAATCCCTTTTCTTGATAATTGAAAGTGTCAGGATAGGTATAGTACAATATTAGAATATCGAATTCTATGCTGACACTTTTAATTGTCAGGAGTTTTTTTTTTTTTTTTTGAGATAGAAGCAACCTGCAAGTAATGCTCCCTGCTATACATTCCGTCAATCAGAAACCCAAAGGACTTTTAAAATTATCCCAAAGAACAGAATGCATATAAGATAATATGCTATGATGCAAAAATCTAGAAACATCAAACTTGAGCAGTACTGTGATTATGAGAACTGAAAATGCCAACTCCCATAAGCAAGAGGAGATTTGTCATCATGTTTCATACATCAAAAGCAGAATGCAAATGAGACTAAATGATATACAAGCCAACACACAGTGGAAAATCTCAGAATAAATGCAAGCGCACTTTGTTTATAGCAATAACAATTCGCACTCCAACTGCTTTGGCATGAGCAATAGCCTCTTTTGTTTGAGGTCGAATTCCATCATCAGTAGCAACTACAATAACAGCAATGTCTATTACTCTGGCTCCACGAGCTCTCATTGCTCGAAATGCCTATCCAACCATTTTTACAGTTATGTTAGATAATTCATCTTGACAAGGGCCTTTTAAGATATGTCTGCAAAATCTCCAAGAAGAGCATTTGACATAAAAATTTTAAAAAAAGAAAAAAAAAACTTGCATGAATAAGCAGTTAAATGTTAGAACCAGTGCTACATCATTAATTACCTCATGTCCAGGGGTGTCAAGGAAAACACAAGTCTGTGGCTTGCCATCAAAAGGTACTTGTACCTTGTATGCCCCCATGCCTTGAGTAATTCCACCTGCTTCAGATGCTGCCACCTACAGTAGGTTGTCTAAGATTTAGTTCTCAGCTATTCAAGTATCATAACATAAGACAGAATAAGGTACTTCTTCTAAAGTCATCAAATCATAATGGCATTACAAATAATGTACCTCAATGTGAACATCAATAAAAATAATCGATTCATACCTTGCTTTTCCTGATGTAATCCAAAAGTGTGGTCTGCCAACCCAAAAGAAAACCAGTAATATATTAGCTAAAGATTGTTATGGGACAATAAATCTAGAATGACTCTCCTAAAGATCAATTAACTGGAAGCACACAAAATGTTCATAGGCAACAATCAAATAACAAAGAAAGGTAAAATTATTTCATGGGATGAGATCATAATGACTTCAAAAAAGATCCATTTGCTATGGAAGACTAATCCAGCTGTAAGAAAAATAAGCGCATGCATCAAGGAGTACAACATTAATATTGATGATAACGTATCATTTATAAGCAAAATACTGAAAATGAAACTTGGAATGACTATATCTAGACATCGCTAGACAAATCCCAATTCTCTTGATAAGGGAAGACAAGCTAATAATGTACAGCTAGATTAGTAATAATTTAATAGAGAGCCAAAACTTAAGATGGGCACCTGAACTATGTCGTAGATTGGCATGATGCCAGTCTAAAACTGAGTTGATCTCAGCTCTTTCGAACAGGTCTGTTGGGTACCTTTTTGGTATGAAAAAGCACAAGTGATCAAAAGAGGTACGATCGAGTATCAGTTGTTGGTTTGATACCTTAGAAGCCAATAGGCATCATAGTAAGACTTACATTTAGCAAGTGGCTATGTAACCATTTTCTGGTTCTCATGTGTTGCAGCCTGATGATGGTACCACCTTTGATTGTATCCCCTTGTTGGGCATTGGTATCTGGTACGGGTCTAACAATCTGCAAGCCAAGTTTAATCATACCTAAACTTAGAAAATTATGATGATCTAGAAAAAATAGATACTAGAAAAAGAAACATACCCAATAGCTGTTTGAGTCATCAACGTTGGGAAAACCAGTGACGGATTGCTGTCCACTACCAGAGCCATATGGTACATCATGCAAATGCAGCCTAAACTTTGTTCTCTCATGCATCAACTTGATCACTGACCCATAAGTAATCTACCAAAATCACAGATGCCGAACAAAATAAGAATGACTTAGCACAAAGCCCCATTATACAACTATTAGAACTCAAAGCATCATACACCATTTTTTATTTTCGCCACACAACAGAAACCTCAAACTATAAAACAGGAAAAAAATCAAATTTAATTCATAAATCAGCTCTTTAAAAAATCCAAATAGCAATTTTTAACTGACACCCAGCTAGATTTTCAACAAAGATTATCGAGGCATTTCATCAAACATGTCGAAGGCTATTACTAATTCTACACAAACAACTCCATTTCCTCTTTCCCTGTCCTCTTTTAGCTTATAAACCTCTGAAGCGCTATAATTTATAACCATCACATGCCTATAATAGCATAAACTTGGTCAAAATTTTGAACCAAAAATAACTATAAAACAACTTTCCGCGTACAATTTCAACAAATATGGGGAAAAACACACACACACACACACAAAGATGCACCGCATATCTGTGCAACTACAAGAACGCAAAAACCATGAATTTGAAATAGTAAGTGGGCTTTTGGCTTACTTGGACGCCTTCGGAAGCGGTAGAGATGGGGGAAGAGGTGAAATTGGAGTCAAGGGTAAGAAAAGGAAAATGGCGAGACCGAAAAACGAGATTGCCATTAGTAAAAGTAAGCCAATGAACCAGGTAGTTTGCCAAAAGGGCAAATTGAGATTGGACTTGGAAGACAATTCTCGATAAACTATTCGAGTCGGGGGAGAAATTTGTTGAGCTGAATTCGAAGAAGAAGATGATGATGACCCGGAAGTGGGTTTCCTTCGAGAGAGATTTTGTTGCTGATGCTGCTGTTAGCTGCCTGAGAGAGCCACGGTTGAAGCTTCATGGAAACTGCTGCTTGGCTGCTACCCATTTTTCCCACCAACTACATCGGAATCTGACAACAGAGAGATAGAGAGACAGAGAGAGGGTGGCGGGAAATGGTGGAGTTGGAAAATGAAAATTTTGAGCAATTGTTTTGAGCAAGTGTTTTGGCCGGCAGAATGAAAATTTTGAGTGTTTTAGGGCGAATGAATCTTCCGCCAAAATCAAACGATGCCGTTTAGTGTCTTTCTTTTTTTTGGTGTATCTCATATTTTCTCAAGTGTTATGTTAGATAGTCTAAAGGCACATTATTATTTTTATATCTAATAAAATAAAAAAATTAGAGTATATATTATTGAATTACTAATAAGTGTCATGATAGGAGTGCTATAATGACACAAACCAACAAGTGTCCTTACAGATATGTCAGGAAAGGCCATTTTTGTTGTAGTGAAATCATGTACCTAACCTGCAAGGAACTATATATATAATTTCTGTCCTAATTGGAAAGTTGTTCAATTTGTTCTATATCTCCGCAAAGTATATTATTATTATTGTGTTTGTGGATCAGACTTAGAAGAAAATGACCCACGGCAAGAAAAGTGTGACCATTGAGTCAAATCATGGGAATTAGTAGATTAGACCCACTGTAACCAACGGACTTCCTAGCCAGCTTTGATCTTTTCTACATTATCGTATTTGGACTTGACCCACCCCAAAATATATATATATACATCTCACTCCACATCTACCGACCAAAACGGCTGATCCACATCATGGGAAAAATGGCATTTAAAATAGAAAACAGAAGAAAGAAAACATAACTCTAGTAAGTTGACTGTGTGAGTTATTTTACATCTGAACATGTGAATAAATTTCTGCTGCGAATCAGTTTCTAAGCCTTAAATGAACCGACACATGAGATAGATGAAAATATCTTCTAGAAATTATTATTGCTTCAATCAAACTCACATACTTTAATCTCTCGCTCTCTCTCTCTCTCTAGAATTAAATCTGAAGACTTAATTCCTACCACTAATTATACAAGACATTAGTGGCTTACCATATAATTGGGGATATTCTTGATAAACAGGGTTGGTGACAAAAGCACTGGACGTTTTCTCCCAGTTGCATTTCAGACCAGATATAAGGAGGTTCTTGTAAAGGCACATACTGTTGCATCTGGAGCGGTGCTAAGATTGCAAATAGCTCCTGTTCTTGGTAGGAAAAGGAAACCAATTGAGTGGTCTGAGTTTCAGGTACTGTTCCTTCTTACCATTATTCAGGCTTGAAATTTATATTTGTGCTTTACTCTTCTATTATTTCTGCATTAGGCATCTTCCCTTTACAAATATATGATGCCTGATCCTATGTTTTTTGAACATGTAGTGTGCTGTTAGCTAGCAAAATCAGCCTATGAAATTGATTATTCATGTTATGGCTTTATCTTTTGTTTGCCAAACTTTTGCATGTATACTGTGGCTGCAGATTCTATTTAGTTTGTTGCCTTACTAATGCATTTGTACTTGAGATGGTTGATTTTTGCTAAAAATGTGTTTTACACCTTGGATCCCATTGCTGGTATTTGAGGAGTTTAAATTTAGTTCATATTACATTGCATTTGTTTTCTATATAATGTGGCGGTCATATTCTTTATGGTAGGATAAAGGACTGCAACAATATGGACAGGAGTTGGATGTCTATTAAGAACTACCTAGACCCCAAGTATTTAGATGGAGTTGATGAATTTATTAAGTTTGCTTTTCTAGGCAAGGATCCTAATTGTAAACTGCCATGTCCTTGCAAAGTATGCAATAATTTTGAGGATCAAACTAAGGAAGTCATGGCCAATCACTTGTGTCGAGGAATTTTTGATAGTTATACTAGGTGGATATATCATGGCGAAGGGTTTGAATCTGATGATGAGAATGATGACATAGAAATAAATGACAACGATAGTGACTTTGACAGTATGGAGGAGCTGTTAAATGATGTAGGAGTTGCTAACTTTGGTGAGAGTTGGAGACATTCACCGGAACTTGATACGAGTGCTTGTACCGAGAAAGAAGGAGAAGCAAGTAGGTTTTTCAGATTATTATCGGAGGCTGAAAAATCTCTATACCCGGGCTGTGAAAAGTATTCAAAACTCTCGTTTATTGTCCATATCCTCCACTTGAAAACAATGAATCGGTGGACTTGTAAATCTACTGATATGTTGCTGAAGTTCTTGCATCAAGTATTTCCTACAGCTTTGATTCCCAGTTCATATTACGAGGCAAAAAATTTCATCCGTGAGTTGGGGCTGAAGTGTGAAAAGATCTACGCCTGTGAAAATGATTGCGTACTTTTTTGGAATGAAAATAAAGGCCTTGATCATTGTCCAAATGAAAAATGTAAAGCACCGCGGTATAAATCTCCAAATTCCAAAATACCTAGAAAGGTGTTGCGTTATTTTCCATTAAAACCAAGGCTGCAAAGACTGTTTGTGAACAAAGAGATTGCTCGGGATATGAGGTGGCATAAGGAGAGACGTGTAGATAATAAGAACATGATGCGACACCCTGCTGATTCATTAGCTTGGAAGGATTTTGATAGAAATCACAAGTCCTTCGCTGAAGATCCTAGAAATGTGAGGCTAGGACTTGCTAATGATGGCTTTAATCCCTTTGGAACCATGAGCAATTCATATAGTATATGGCTTGTTATCCTTGTTCCTTACAATCTACCTCCTTGGAAATGCTTAAAAGATCCATTTTTTTTCCTATCAATGATTATTCCTGGTCCCAAAGCACCTGGAAATGACATTGACATATTCTTTAGACCACTAGTACCTCCTATATTCACACCTTGTACAATAAGTTGCTTTCTGTGTTTTAATATATAAACAACCAAAAGCATAAAGATTAAACAATAATTATGGTGGGAGTCCAATTTAATTGTTCAATAAGTTGAGCTATTTAAAGAAGAAGAAAGAAAATAAAAAAAAAACTGTTTTAGAGAGCTCTGTAGTTGAGCTTATGCAGTGTTGTATTTGTATAGATTGGACTGTGATTTCTAACTTCTTGCTGGTGTTGTAATATGTGGGCCCAAATTATATGAGGTTCTTAATGAATTGTAATTTTTGTCTTAATAATCTAAGTCTCATTACTTGTTCTTTATTATTGTACTCCTCCCCTTACCTACTTCTTTTACTCTTTTATGACAGATAAATGCTATTCATACTAGCTTTTGAAAGATATCTATGGTTATGGTTGAAGAATGTTGAAGACAAAATTGCCTTTTGCTCATGGAGTGGTTCATTTAGATGTTCTTCAATTTCTTAAACTGTGATTGCTTTTGTAAATGTACCTTATGTACAAGTGATATTTTGGACAAATGTTATTTTTGTAGGCATTAGTTGGGTAATGTACACTTGAATTTGGCATTTGAGAATGCTATATTATTACCATGTAATCTAATGCAAATACTTTTGGTTATCAATCGCTCATGTTTATTTGTATGGTTTGTTTAAAATCAATGATTTAGTAATGATTACAGGCCAAATTATGACTATTAAGTTATTGAGAAATTATCTAATGACAAAAAAACGTTGTCACAAAATAGAAAATAAAAACTCCTTGTCACAACAGAGACTGTCACTAAATCTAAGCTACATTTGTGACGACAATTGTTGTCAGTAAAATAGTTATATACAATGGCTTTCGGTGCTTTTTAGTGACGACCTTAAGTAGAGCATTTTTGACAAAAGGTCAATTCGTCAATAAAACACTTCCAGATTGTTGTCACTAATGACAACTATTTAGTGACGACATTTCAGGTCGTCACTAAATAGTTGTCATTAGTGACGACAATCTGGAAGTGTTTTATTGACGACTTGATCTTTTGTCAAAAATGCTCTACTTAAAGTCGTCACTAATGAGAACTATTTAGTGACGACATTTTAGGTCGTCACTGTTTACTTTTACCGATGGGGATTTAGTGACGACTTTGTGACGATCAAAAAGTCGTCAATAAAAGGTATTTGTGACGATATTTGTATGTTCTGTGATGACTTTGTGTTGTCACTGATGAACAATTTTCTTGTAGTGAATATTTAGCTATGAATGAATCCCTCTTTAAATATGAATAGATGATCATGGATTTAGGAAGCATTTTTATTGACCATAGGAATTATTTGCTTGTGAAATTGGGTAAGATGAGACATTGAGTTGAATTAGTTAAAATTATGGCATAATCGGCTCTCTTTTACTTGATATTATGAGTACTTGAATTTAGTTGACTGATTGCATAATAGTTATTCACCTTGTTTTGAGAAAATGAAATTGAATTATGCACATATTTTTATTTTCAAAATTTTGGATCATTGTTGGACAAGCAATGGTTCAAGTGTGGGGGAGTTTGATAAGTGCATATTTATGTGTTTTAAGTGTATATTAGTAGTAAGTTTGATGTGTTTTATTTAGTTTTATAACTAATTAACTAGGATTTTAGTGAAAATAAACATTTTGTGGTTTAAGTGGTAAAAATTACATTTTTATGGATTTTAATGGTGAAATTTTCATGTTTTTGTAGGTTGAAGGATTCAATCATCAAATGGCATGAATTGAGAAGAGAATTACATGATTGATGATGGCTTGAAATGATAAAAAAGAGAATATGAAGTGCAAAATACTCAAAGGATGAAATGCAAGTTTTCCAACGTTGATATCTTGTGGTATTTTGACAATATTTTGATCTATAAGCATTGGATTGAGGTGATTCTTATACAATTTTGAAACTAAGAGATAGATCTATATGTGGTATGATACATTGAAGTCTAGTTCAGCCGTTTTCCTAGTCAAAAGGTTAAAATACAGAAGTACATTTTCATGGTCGAAACTTGAAACAGAGTTCTGACCAGTCGAGGGTATTTTGGTTATTTATCGGTACACAGAGCTCCAAATTGGATGATTCTTGATACATTGAAAAGTTAACTCAAAGGACTACAATTTTTATGTTTTATACAAGAGCTAGCTTAGCTTCTAACATAAAAAAATTATCAGTTGCAATTGGAGCAATGATGAATTCTACCCAGAAAGTGCAAACCTGCAACGGAGAAAACGTGGGGGTGCAATACACGACTTAAGGTCACGTTTTCAAGTCACGTATTCATCATTTTCGGTTGCAACTTGTACTTTGTTTACACAACTTTCCAACTTAATTCTAACAAGTAATTTCGGTTGTATCTGTCCAAGAAGAGTATGGAAAGTTGGAGAAACAATTCATGGGAGTTTCAAGAGTAAAAAATGACAACTAGAAACAACTCATTTGGCTCTTGAATCCTCTATAAATAGCAGCCTTTGGAGACTATTTTCACAATTTTGGAAGACTAGAGAAACTTACCAAAAATGTAGTCTTGACTAGAATTTCCTTAGTTCATTAGTTAGAATAGTATAGTATAGTTAGTGTAAGTTTTCCTTCTTGTATTTGTAGCTGGACTTGGATGAAGATTTGAAGAGTAAAGATGGAGAGTTAGAGCTGATGTGACAAGGGTGACTTCTCTCCTATCACTTTCTCTTTTGTATTTAAGTTCATGTTTAACTACAATACAAGTTTGGTATATGTTTTCATGTTTAGTTAAAGTTTATGCCTAGAGTTATAGATGAACTTTCTATATCTTGTTAGTGATATTTACTTGGTTATTTGCTGATATTATTTTGATCAAGTTATTTATCACTTTTGCTTTTCTAATCATGATTAACCGGCCATTAATTATGATAACTTTAAGGTGTTAAGTTTGCAATGAAATTTGGAATTTAGCACTAGTTCAAAGAAGTAATAAACCTAGGAAGTACATTCACGAGAGTAGAGGAGCACCTATGTGGCTTTAGTGACTTGTTTCGTGTAATTTCATAAAAGAAATGAGTTTGTAGTTAATTTCATAACCATGAGAGTAGGTATGATTTAACTACAAGTATAGTTGATTCATTAGGAGAGTAGGTTTCACATACATTAGGAAATTACGCCATAACTGATCAAGAAAATAGCATTCACTTAACTGATAACTTCACTTGCAAGAATAGTAAGGAATTCCATACATCTAGGAGTTTTTTATTGTATTTTTGTTACTTTAATAATGTAGATTTAATTTCATTACTTGTGATAGTTTAAATAATAAAGAAGTTCAAAAATCACCGGTAATTGAAAATCTTTCCTGTGGATTAGACCCTTAATATCCTATATTCGCTCATGACCTGTATACTTGCAAAAAAATCGCGTGTGGAGTATTTAGAATGTTATAAATGTGAAATTTGACTGTGGAATGAGTTCATTATTATATGTATATCCCGCGCTCGTCACCCTTGTCTTGCTAAGGATGCATTTCACTCAACCCATCGGAACTCACTTTCGCCAATGAACTGAACTTAGCCTACACTAGAGTTTCCCTACTTTCATGGTGAAATCTCAAGTATAAACTAGATCAAGCACAAGAAATATCATAAACATCCACCTAGGTGCACCACTACTTTTGTGTGTCTACTCCTTAGGTTCTATTCATTCATTTTCCATTATTGTCAACTATTTTCATAGATTAACAATAACTAAAATGGCTTGCAAATGGTGATCAAGCATTCACAAGTATTAAAGCATGAACAAATGAACTAGCAAGTATAAAATATAGCAATAATCAACTTCATTCAACCATAGTCAAAGCACAAATAGTTTCATCTATCCTTAGAACAAGAAGATTAAGCTAGACATAGTAGATTTAATAATAAATCTCATATCTCTAATGTAACAAAGCATTAGTGAAACAAATAAAGAGAGTAAAGAGGAAGATATGCTCATTCAAATGAAGAAACATGATCTTCAAGTTCCATCATTTTCATTGCTATCAAAAATGCTTTAATACATCAAGAGTTCTTCAATAGAAATGAGAACTAGATCTAAAACTATAACTAAGCTAAACTAGCGAGAATAGAAAGAAAAGCTCTATATTTTTTCTTCTCTATCTCCTCACACCCTCTTTTCTATCTTCAATAATGTGTTTTTCTACTTGTTTCTTTACTTCTTGTTCAAAAAATGCCCCTCATTAGAATCTCCAATATTCCTTCTTCAAGTGTACAAGATGCTTTGCCAGTTTCTAGTCGGAATTTGTTGTGAAACAAGAGTCAAAAAGTAAGTGTGAAATGTACATAAGTTGTTCTGTAGATTGCAAAGGAAAGAGAAAGATTTGAGGCCTTGGATTCGGGAGCTTCACACAGATCCGAGATTGGATCTGGGTTTTCCCATTTTCCTTCATTTATTTTGCAAGACGATCCGGGGCCTATTCTACTTGGATCCGAGCTCGGATCCCTTGCTCTCAGATCAACTTCTCCAGATTCTCAGACGAGGGCTCGGATTGAAGGCTTGTGGAAACGGATCTGAGCTCGGATCCATTTTCCCATGTTTCTAGCTTCAATTCTCTTCTTGTTTCACTTATATGTTTTCCTCCATGAAGTGCATTGCATCTTCTTCAACTGAAGAGAGTGTTGCACGCGCCAATAACCTTCAAAATATCACATATTTACGCTTTAATTCACTCATTTGCACATTTAGTTCACTAAGTAACACTTGAAGAAATTTTGCACTAAAAGGGTTTAAACCTGGCTATGAACCCCTAAAAACACAACAAAAACTTACATTTTATCAAATGAAATCAATGTGAAATATTCACTTATCAATTATTCTTTTAAGGGAATAATTATCTTTTTCATAAAAAAAAAAAGAAAAGAAGAAGAGAGTAAAAGTTGTTCTACTCCAATGGTTCTTGTACTTAGTAATCGGGAGTCTTTATCTACAAATGTCGACTTTTACGTAAAACGGTACTTGAATTAAGAGTATGCAAAGTAATTTGAATTTGTGAAGTGTTGAGTAACCGACAATCTTCATCTACAAATGTTGATCTTCGTATCAAAAGGCACTTTCACAACTTGAGTAAAATATATATATATATATATATATATATGAATAAATCCCTTTTTAAGTTGAATAAGAAGATGACCATGGGATTAGGTAGCCTTTTTGTTGACATATGAGTTACTTGTAAAATTGGGTAAGGATGAGAAATTGAGTTGAACTAGTTACAATTATGGTATAATTGGCTCTCCTTTACTTGATATTATGAGTACTTGAGCTTAGTTACGTGATTGCATAATAGTTATTTACCTTTTTTTTTAAGAAATGAAGTGGAATGGTGCACATATGTTTATTTTCAAACTTTTGGATCATTGCTGACTTGTAATTCTTATTGCTTGAGGACAAGCAATGGTTCAAGTATGGGGGAGTTTGATAAGTGCAAATTTTGAGTGTTTTTAAGTGTGTTTTCTTATTTAGTTTTGGTGTGTTTTAGTCACTTTTATAGCTAATTAGCTAGGATTTTATTGAAAATATGTATTTTGTGGTTTAAAGTGTGAACATTGCATTTCTATAGATTTTAATGGCAAAAACTTCATGTTTTG